TATTGTTATAAATAAATAGTCTGTAGAGAATTCTTAACCTCTTCTCTGGATCACATTTTTTTTTACTTCCAAATTGAAATAACCACTGAAAAATATCTTAAAAATCTTCCTAGAGCCGATAATATGCTGAACTCAATTAATTTTTAATTAAGTTTTAGGGACAAAATCTTTCTCCAAACTGACAAACACAGACATCTAAATAAACAGGTGAGACACAGTGACACAAAGAGACGGTAAAGATTTGCACAGATGCTAAGACTCCCAGAAGGCAGGCTTCTGGAAGGGGGAGAATCCAGAATGAAAAATGAGAAATAAGCTCTACGGTAAAAAAAGACAGGGAAATGCTGCCAGAGAGAACAGTACAGTAACAGAGGACTCACAACAAAATATCTCTGAAAGAGTAAAAGCAGTTGGGAGTTTACAGACTATAAAACCGCAGGAGACTATCCAAGAAGATGGATTTGCAGATACAAGTTGGAATTGTCCAATCGAGGGACTCACGTAATTTGCTGAGGAAACGGTAACTCATCTTGCAAGAGACAAGAAGGCAATACAAATGGGAGTTCTTAAGCCCTTTCAAGTCAAAGATTATTTTGAGAAACCAGCTAAAATTATGGTCTCTCCCTTTCTTTCCAAAGAAAGAGGCCACAGACACTTAAAACTCCCCATTTTCTTCATTGTAATTTATTGTTAATCCTAAAAGCTGTCTATGGAACCATGAAAAATGTTGATGGCGAAGGCTGCTTCTGCTGAACTGTTCCAACGTTCATCACAGAAGAAGAAGTCCTCTGTGTGTGAGCAGTTATCTCAGGGTAGTAGAGGTACAGACCAAACTAAAGCAGTTGAATGGGAAATGTGAAAGCGAAGGTATTGAGCGAAGAATACTTCAGAAGGTTGGCTCCAAGTACAATGCATAAGAAAAGACAACGCAACAGGTTAAACAATATGGAATCTGTGTGTGTGTGTGTGTGTGTGTGTGTGTGTGTGTGATTGCGTGTTTGTATGTAGATGTGTGTGCGCTTGAGCATGCATGTGTGTAGGCATTTGTGTGTGTTTTTCTCTCTGTGTGTGTTTGTCAGTCTACATCTGAAGAAGTAAGCTTGCTCATATCTTATGAGGAATGATAGGGGGAATGCACAGAATGAATGACAAAGACAGGATGGAGGTGGATAAAACTATTTGATGAGTAAGAAAGACATGAGAGAGTGGACCCCCGTCACCAGTCCAATTGATGGTTTCCTCCTCTGTGAGTTAGGAAACAGATAGATAAAGAAGACAATATAGAGCTCGTGTGTGAGAAAGAACTGAAGATCTTTTTTACCGATGAAATATGTCTTTCTTCTGAGTGATGCAGAAGAAAAGTATTATATTTGGAAAGTCCTTGACAGAAATGGAAGAAAGACAAGCAACAAGCCTGACTTTAAAGTTGGAAGCTATCTCTTCTTACATCCCAGTGCTAGAGAGTCACTATTAACCTAGCAGAACACGAACAACACCATCAATATATTGTAGTTTCAGACAATCACCATATGGCAGGTTAGTGCGGGGTTGGAGTCTTGGTGGCAGCAATGGAAGAACTGCAAGGGAAGGAACTAAAGACATATGGATTCTAAGGAGGGAAGAATAACAATTAGGAAAACCCGAGTACCTAAGAAGGAACACAGGGAACAGTTCAGTGAGAGTTAAAATCATCCTGAAAAAGGTGTTAATGGGAAGAACATGATGGAAAAGTTTAAAGGAGGGAAGTACTTCCAAGGAACACGGACTTAGGTATTTCTGACATAAAGTGACTGTGAGAGTCCAGACTTGTCCTTGGTTTAGGGTGACAAAGCAAACAACAACAACAACAACAACAAAAACACAAAAAACAAACAAAAACAAAAACAAAACAAAACAAAACAACAACAAAAAAACTCTAGATTCAAGAAAGTTAAGGGACTTTGATGTTTTAATATATGCATGCACACAAACACTCCAGATACTAGGGAGACAAGTGTTGAAGAAAGAAACTGAAAAACTGAGCAAAGCTTTTATTACCAGAGAGCAGAAAGGTTTAGCCACACAATGCTGAGTAAGCTGAGGGTGAGGGGGAAGGAAAGCTTTCTTTCGAGAAAAGTAATGTAATAAGAATACTTTTTTATTTTATTTTATTTCTAAGGTTTTTTTTTATTTATTATTTATAGAGTATTCAGCCTGCATGTGTGCCTGCTTGCCAGAAGAGGGCCCCGGATCTCATTATAGATGGTTGTGAGCCACCATGTGGTTACTGGGAATTGAACTCAGGACCTTTGGAAGAGCAGCCAGTGTGCTCCTATCCTCTGAGCCAACCAGAAGACTTTTTTTAAATTTTCACGTTCATGCTAAGCACAAGCATGTGCTTCCCTGTGACAGGGAAGGGTAGGGGCACCGTAGGTAGGGATTCAGTGTGACGATGAAGTAGAGACACCCTGCAGAGAGGTCAAAACACGCAGGAGTTGGTCTAATATGAAAGAGTGGTTTTAGAAAGCAAACAGAAGAGGCTTGGAAACATCCTGTGGTAAAAGGTAAAACAAAAACAGTTTAGCTTTTTAAAGGTTGCATTTCCCGGACTTGCCTGCACAATCCTTGTTTGCTCAGCACTACCAACCTGTGACAACAGGAGCCCTGTGTGGCTTGCGGCCCCAGGGAAGACTGGCAGAGTAGTCAAGCAGATCGCTCCCCAGGGGAAAGGTGCCAAGTCAGAGCGAACAGCTTCCCAGGCATCTGGAGGGCAGCGCCTGGGCAAGGATGAGCCAGCTTCAAGGACATCCAGTTTACTCGCGGCTCTTTGTGAGTTCGACTCAGTTACACCAAGGACTCTGAAATCAAAGAAGATTAGAATTTCCTTTGATCTTTGCCACATTTGGCCTATCACTGAGCAAATTAGTGAGTGATACGTAAACATTTGCCTCTACTGATTTATTGGATATTAAAAACACACACAAACACACACACACACACACACACACACACACACACACACACACACACACACACCAAAACCTGAAACAAAACAACAGCAAGAGAGAGTTTTATTATTTGCTTTTCAGTTTCTCAGACAGTTTCTCACCAGGTTGGTGTTGAATTGGAGGTCTTCCACCTTCACTCGCTTTGTGTTGGGATTACAGGTTTATAGACATGAGCAGGCACACCAGCGGGGCATAGTTTTTATGTCCTAATTAATTTCATCATTATGGAGAATTTGTTTATTTATCTTTACATTCTAGCCTACTGTTAATTACACCAGCCTGAAACATTTGTAAATGTTTAAAATATATATTTACGTGTATATTTATGTGTGTACGTGTGTATATGTACACACTCGTGGGGTTGTTTTCAGTGGCCGAAAGTGGGCATAGTATCCCCTGGATCAGTCTGTCCTTGCAGGGATTTGTCAGCTACCCAGCGTATTGTCTCAGAACCAAAATGAGGGTTCACTGCAAGAGCAGTAAGCACTCCTAACCGTATCTATTTCCTTATGGATTTTTAATAACAATTTTTAATTATACCTTTAAATGTGCAGTGTTTAATAATTTTGATAGACCAAATGGTCATGTAAAAAGAGAACTCAAAAACCAATATTTGATATTATGGGTTATAAAAATCTTTTTCCTAATTTGCTTGCATGAATCAAAAAGAGGAAAGCAGTAGGAAAGATTTGGGAAAAATATAGCTCATATTAATTACTTTAAGGTACTACTTTTTTCAAGGTAAAAAAAAAATTTTTCATAGTATAAAATGCATTCATACATAGCTGACCGAAAAGTGTTACAAGAAAATTCTCCCTGGCATGTCTTTATTTTTTTTTAATTTCGTCATTATTTATTTGTGGGTATGGGTTTGCACATGCCATGGCACTCATGTGGAGTTGAAAGGACAACTTGCAAGAGTTTGTTCTCTCCTTCTACTATATGGTTCTGAGGGATCAAACGTTAGGTGTTAAGTCTTGGCAACAAGTCCCTTTCTACCTGATGACCATCCTAGCTAACTTACAAAATATACCAAACATGATTTCATATATAGAAGGCTAATATGCAGTACACATTGTGGCATTTTGAAAAACACACAGCTATCAATATTATGAAAAGGCAAGCATGATTTTAAAATATTTATAATTTTACCAAAGATAAAGAGAATAGGTTATTGTGTGGTTCCACCATGGTATAAAATGCAAAGGTATTATTGAGAATTTTAACACTGGAGCCCAGTATACTTATTAATTATATATATATTTTTATTTTTAACAAAAGTTAATGTTACATGATATAGATTTATTAGTATTTCCTGAGGAAAACGTTTCTCATTTGCTCAGTGTGCAAAAGATGTGAAGACATTGGTTAGAACTTCCAGTCTCCATACTGTTGCATAGCCTCCTTCAGAATTTGCAGAACCGTACCCTTTTAGGGCAGAATTCTGAGGTATACTGCTGATACCCCCCTTATTTTGAGAGTGCAGTTTCAGAGTGTTCCATAAACAGAGGGTGGAATTTGGTATTTCCAGGTATCGTCTCAGTGTAGACCTGAGCATGCTTCGGTTGAGAGATACACCACTGAAAGGGCCTAAACAATCTTCCTTAGCGCTCCTCAGGTTGTGGAGATCACCAACTATACAATTATCTTTGTTGCTCCTTCGTAACTATAATTTTGTTACCATTGTTAATTGTAATGTTTATGGCTGACATGCAGGATATTTGAAATGTGACCCTTGCGAAAGGGTCATTTGAACCCCAAAGGGGTCATGATCCACAGGTTGAGAACCACCGGTCTAGAATAATCAACTGTATGTGTAAGAACAGATAAAAGACCTTTTCCTAAAGGCTAGAAAAGCCAACAACCTGAGATTAAGATGGGTTTAGTAAATATTTCTGCTTACTTTGAAGAATCATGTTTGATTTCAGAGTCTAGAAGTCTCTATATACTTTGTAACTCACCATTTAGTAATGTCACAGTTTCCAATGGTGATTTTTTTTTTTAATTTTTTAGACTCCAAGGAGACAATCTGATGGAAAGGACAGAAGACACACTACAAGTATTTCATTCTCCAGATGAGATAATCCCAGATTCGTTGGGTAAGTTCTAAACTCAAAAGTATTATTGAAGTTTAGTAACTTTTAATGACTCCTAAAAATAACTCCCCTGAACCAAATGCTCAGGTCACACACACATTCCACCCACCTGAGCAAATGAGAAAGAGAAACAGGAAGTATGGGTTCTGAAGAGGCAGCTATCTGTTGGCTACTGTCAAAATCATGTTACCAATTCTAACCTCTTAGAACTTGGTTTTCCCCTGTTGGCTCTATAGAAAGTGGAAGTCATTAGGAGTTCCTTGAAAATTAGCGTGTCTTTAGCCCCCATTCTCATGCCGTTGATCCAATTAGTCTTCTTGAATGAAGACAACTATATCTTATTGGAGACACCATACAGGTTCTCTCGGCCATGTGATAAATTACTTACTCTTCTCTCACAGACAGACTTCATTTCTTCCTGAGAGTCTCTTCCATGCCATCCTCCTCTTTCTCCATCTGGTGAAACAGCTTCCTCTCCCCTCATTGTATTGTGGCTGTGTTTAAATACCGTGACCAAAGCAATGTGGGGAGGAGAACGTTTATATCAGCTTATAGGTTACAGCCCATCAGTTGGGGAAGCCAGGCCAAGGGCTCCAGGCATCAGCCTGGAGGCAGGCGCTTAGCAGAAACTGTGGAGGAAAGCGTGGTGTTACTTGCTTGATCCTAGCTGGCCCAGCTATATTTCTGATACAGCCCAGGACCACCTGTCTCAATGTGGCATCATCCACAGTGGGCTGGGCACTTCTCCATCAATTATCCATCAAGAAAAAGCTCCACAGACACGCACACAGGCCAATTCGATGGAAGCAATCCCTTCGTTCAGATTTCCTATTCTTAGGTGTTCCAATTTAGAATGTGCTATTCTTATACATCACTGACCAAAACTACCTTGCGTGAGAATATGGTCTTTCAGCTTATACTTGCTAGTCACAGTCTCTCCTCCAGGGGAAGCCAAGGCATAAACCTGGAGGTAGGAACTAAAACGCAGACCAAGGAAGAATGCGTCTTAGGCTTACTTCCTATAGCTTGCTCAGCTAGCCCAGAGCCTTGTGCCCAGGGGTGTGCTGGACCCTCCCACATCAAACAGTACCCATGAAAATGCTCTACAGATATGCCCATAGACAAGTCAGAGGAAACAATTGCTCAGTTTGTATCAAAATGACCAAAACGAAACAGGTATGTCAAGGTTTTGTTTCAGGTTGACAAAAACTATGACACCTGGAACCACATCTGTTTACTTTATTATCTTTTAAAGTTAATAGCATTTAGTCTGTACCCATTTCTATACGATCCAGGACAAACTCCATAATTTAACATATGAAGTGAAAAGTAGAATGTTTCAAAATGCTTGACAAACAAATGGTGGCTGTAATGCTACTCCAATGGCATCTAAGATGCATTAGTATTGTTTGACTGTCTGTATTCCAACAGGACACAGCATATGAGATCAGGATCATTAGGGGAATCAGCTGAATGGAAAAACATCATAGAGCAGACACAAAGTTTGTAAGCATTAGGAATGCAATAAACAATAGTGTAATATACATCCAAAAGCTAAAGAAAGGATGTTTGAATGATTTTTTATAACAAACAAACAAAATTATGAATGTTTATAAGAAAAAAATACTTTTAATTTTATCATACTATTACACAAATGTTTACCTGTATCGAAAAAAAAAACATTCCAAGGTAGCCTAATATGTGCTATTATGTACAATTTCAAGTCATAATTTATTATTTTAATTGATGTAACTCAAATTCAAAAATGAGGTTAAAAGATTGTGAAAAACAAGTATAAAAAATTACAAACTATGGAGCTGAGTGGATTGCTTAGCAGGGAAAGTGCTTGTTGTACATGTGGGAAGCTGAGTTTAGATCCTTAACATGCACATAAACATCTTGGGCATGGTAGCACAAACCTGCAAAATACCTGTGCTGGTGGAGTAGAGACAGGAGGCTCCTAGGGACTCACTGGCCAGCCAGTCCAGCTAATCAGTGAGCTGCAGAGTCACTGAGAGTGCCTGTCTTAATAAAAAGAAGATGGGAAGCGATAGAAGAGGACACTGGCTTTAACCCTTACAAACATCCACACAGTGCACAGACCTGCATGCATGCTCCACACACGCCAACATGCATGCCATATACATAGGTAGAATTTTTAAATGTATTTTTTATTTATTACAATTTATTCACTTTGCATCCCAGCTGTAGCCTCCTCCCTCATCCCCTCCCAATCCTGCCCACCCTCCCCCTTCTCCTCCCACACCTCTCTCCAAGTCCATTGATAGAGGAGGTCCTTCTCCCCTTCTATCTGACTCTAACCTATCAGGTCTCATCAGGACTGGCTGCATTGTCTTCCTCTGTGACCTGGTAAGGCTGCTCCCCCATCATGGGGGAGGTGATCAAAGAGCCATCCACTGAGTTCATGTCAGAGACAGTCCCTGTTCCCCTTACTAGGAATCCCACTTGGACACTGAGCTGACATGGGCTACATATGTGCAGGGGTTCTAGGTTATCTCCATAAATGGTCCTTGGTTGGAGTATCAGTCATATACATACAGATAGAATTTTTAAAATAGAATATGAAGAACTATCAAAAATCCAAGGAAAAAGTAACAAAATGAGAAAATAAATTTATACTATAGCTTCCTTTGTCCAAAGACGGGTATTCAAATACAAAGATCATTTATAATTTCTTAAGGTCAACAAACCCATTGGGAAATAATCAACAGATTGAATAGACATGTCACAGAAGGGGAAATACAAATGTCAAGTAAGTATATGAAATATGCCTCGTTACCTTAGCAACCACGAAAAATCAAATGGAGACTATTACGAAGTATTATATTTTAGTCATTTGGTATTAACTAACAAAGCTGAAAATAAAAAAAAAAAATAACCCAAAATGCTACAAATGCTAGTAAAGACAGAGATTTACTTGGTCGTGTCTAAACAATTTGAGAAAAGATTTCTATTTTTTTTTTTTTTAATCTTGAGCATTTATGTGATGGAAAACCCAGAAACTGCACATCTAGATAAATATCTTAGAGAAACCAGCTCTAGGTACAAGGGAGTGTGAACTAGGCCTTGTTAGGAAGTTCAGGGAGGAGGAAACCAGTGAGCTGTGAAATCATTACACTGTAGTGACTCTCGAAAGCATCTCAGCTATACACATGGGCTAGATAAGGCCAGCAGTATGCTGGTCACTGTTTAGCAAAAAGGTTTCGTACACCCGATGGTTTCTCTGACGTAATATAGCCCATCCAATGAGTTCATTTCCATAAACTGTGAATGGCAGTTCATTCTCTGAGGTTGCTGTGAGCAGGTGACGGCCCCACCGATTGGGCTTTAAGGAAATGAATGTTGATTGGACAAACAGAAGTCAGAGGATGACATTTTCATAAAGCTTCAAAGGAGGAAATTTCTAGAGAGTGTCCCTTAGGAAAACATTTAAGAGAAGAAACTACCTATAAGAAGGGAGTCATGGACTCAAATCAGCAGTTATCTTCAGGGTATGAGGAAGTTGAGAGATGTGAGAATGAAGGGTCCCACAGGCAAATGAAGGCTCTAGGCAATGCTCCGACTCATAAGGTAGGTCGCAAGCTTGGAGTGTTTAATTATTGTGCTTTATAAGGTAAATTTACTGTACAGTTTTAGCCGATAACACAGTTCTGTTTAAATCATTTGGAATTTTTATGTACATATAATTTCACATGTTGACTATCACCTGGTAATTAAAAACAGAATTATACAAGGATATAAACCGATACCAGGACAAAGAAAGCATGCTAGTGTACATCTCTTCAGATCTGTCATTGAACCAAGACCTGCATGTTCTAAGATGGTTCTTAAACCTTGACAGCGAGGGCAGAATCCTAGAAGACTAGACACATGGAGGGGCATGCCAGCTGTCCGTCAGGGGTCATTCATGCTGTGGGTTCAGCTTGACCATCTCCTCTTGTGTGGATTCCACGTTTTCCTCTCCTCAGGCCACTCCTTCCTCAATACCAGCGGCTTCATTTTGCTGCGTGTTGATTCAGACCATCTACCCTAAGGTCATATTAAGTGTCCCCGATGTCCTGTTTACACTGAGGTTTCCTCTTTCTAAATTCATAATGCTCTCTGAATCACTCAGGATCTGTCCTCGCTTAAATAGTTTCATGCTTCTTAAGGCTTTCATGCTCAATATAAAAGTAACACAACACAGATACTGTTTAACGACTTGGCCATTAACTCTTTTAAATTCAATCAAAACTAGCCTAATCAATCAATCTGTTAATAGATCTGTACTCTTTAGCTATTACATATATCCTTGGAACTGTACAGACATAACTATCTTGGTAAATTAGACAATACGTCTAGTAATATGTTTTTGATTATACTTAGATCTTTTGGAAAAGTGCATTCATTAAGTTTAGGATCCTCTCTTGAAATATTTATGACCTGCTTTTTCCACACTCAAATGTTAGAATACCTAATTAGGAAATGGCAAGATAGGAGTTTCTGCTTCAGTACATTCCTTTCCACTGAAATTAGTCAAATCGTGAGACCCCAAAGTTAAGAATCATTAGCATCATTCGAGAATCTCTGATGTGATTACATGTCATCCGTGCATCCGTACTCAACTTGGCTCAAGATACATATCTCTACAAACAGGCCTAATTTTGTGCAAAGAGGTTCAAGCAGCCGTGGTAGAAATGATGACAAGAGGGAGCTAATTGAAGCTCAGCACTGTGACAAGCATTCAAGATTTCTAGATCCCGTCGACATCGCTCAACCGGGAGATTAAAACTGTATCCAAGAATTTAAAGACAGGTTTTAAATAACAGAATCACTTTATTGTTCCGTGGTTCTGTGCCATTTCACCCAAGACTCAAGCTCTACTACTCCTTATGCGATTTAAAAAAATCAAAAAAACTATAGTATGTTTCTTGAAAGCATGCTTGCTCATAGATTAATTTCTGTGCAGTAGAAAGGACATAATTGTTTATGTATCTGTACAT